CCCTCCCTTTCCCAAGGCACAGGGAGCTCATCCCTCCCTTTCCCTGTCCCTTGGAGCTCATCCCTCCCTTTTCCCTGTCCCCTGGAGCTCATCCCTCCCTTTCCCATCACACATGGAGCTCATCCCTCCCTTTTCCCTGTCCCCTGGAACTCATCCCTCCCTTTCCCAAGGCACAGGGAGCTCATCCCTCCCTTTCCCTGTCCCCTGGAGTTCATCCTTCCCCTTTCCCTGTCCCCTGGAGCTCATCCCTCCCTTTCCCTGTCCCCTGGAGCTCATCCCTCCCTTCCCTGTCCCCTGGAGCTCATCCCTCCCTTCCCTGTCCCCTGGAGCTCATCCCTCCCCTCCCGCAGCCGACAGCGATCCCGCGGCTCTCCTGGGCCGGGAGAAGCCCCTGGAGGAGGAATCTCTGGAGGAGGAGCCGGTGGGCAGCGAGGGGGAGGAGGAGGGCGAGGAAATCCCGGGCCCTTCTTCCCTCCTTCCCGGCGGAGCCATCCCAGCCCTTCCCGCTCCCATCCCGGACATCCCCACCCACCTCCCGCTGCTCCCGAAATCCTGCGGCTCCCACGGCGTGGCCGAGGCAGCGCTGGAGGACGGTGAGTCCAGGATGGAACCTCCCGCCCCTCCCCTTTCCCGCGGGATGTCGGGATGAATCCCAAACCCGCGGGATGTCGGGATGAATCCCAAACCCGCGGGATGTCGGGATGAATCCCAAACCCGCGGGATGTCGGGATGAATCCCAGACCCGCGGGATGAATCCCAGACCCGCGGGATGTCGGGATGAATCCCAGACCCGCGGGATGAATCCCAGACCCGCGGGATGTCGGGATGAATCCCAAACCCGCGGGATGTCGGGATGAATCCCAGACCCGCGGGATGTCGGGATGAATCCCAGACCCGCGGGATGTCGGGATGAATCCCAAATCCGCGGGATGTCGGGATGAATCCCAGACCCGCGGGATGTCGGGATGAATCCCAAACCCGCGGGATGTCGGGATGAATCCCAGACCCGCGGGATGTCGGGATGAATCCCAGACCCGCGGGATGTCGGGATGAATCCCAAACCCGCGGGATGTCGGGATGAATCCCAAACCCGCGGTTTTTTTCCCATCCTTTTTTCCTCTCCCAGTGGAGAAGCTGCGGCTGCTGATCCTGAGGAGGCTCCGGCCGTGCCGGGAGGTGGATCCCGAGGACGATGTGACTCCCACGCCCTCGGTCACCTGGGATTCGGTGCTTTCCAGCCAGGATTCGGCCTCCCAGGAGGGAATTCCCGAGCCCCCCGAGGGGCCGGAGGAGCCGGAGCCCGGCGGGTACAAAGTGGTGCGGAAAGGTAGGAAAAAAAAAGGGAGGGGGAAGGATGGGATTGGGAATGGGGGAGGGAAGGGGGAAACAGGGACAGGGAGCCCTCAGGGATGGGCTGGGGGGGGTGCAGGCCCAGCTGGGGGTCCCAGTCCCTGCTCCCTGGTGGGATTGGGGATCTCATTCCCTGCTCCTTGGTGGGATTGGGGATCCCATTCCCTGCTCCTTGATGGGATTGGGGATCCCATTCCCTGCTCCTTGATGGGATTGGGGATCCCATTCCCTGCTCCCTGATAGGATTGGGGGTCTCAGTCCCTGCTCCTTGATGGGATTGGGGGTCTCATTCCCTGCTCCTTGATGGGATTGGGGGTCTCATTCCCTGCTCCTTGGTGGGATTGGGGATCCCGTTCCCTGCTCCTTTATGGGACTGGGGATCCCATTCCCTGCTCCTTGATGGGATTGGGGATCCCATTCCCTGCTCCTTGGTGGGATTGGGGGTCTCAGTCCCTGCCCATTCCTGGGATCAGGGGTCTCACAGTTGGGGGTCTCACTCCCTGCCCCTCACTGGAAATTGGGGGGGGGGTCTCACACAGTTGGGGGGTCTCACTCCCCGCCCCTCGCTGATTTTGAGGTGCTGATCTCGGGTGATGATTTTGGGATGCTGGTGCTGATTTTGGGATGCTGGTGATGATTTTGGGACGCTGGTGCTGATTTTGGGATGCTGGTGATGATTTTGGGACGCTAATTTCGGGTGCTAATTTTGAGCTGTTATTTTGGGGTGCTGATTTCGGGTGCTGGGTGCTGATCTTGGGTGCTACTTCGAGTGCTAATTTTGGGTGCTGGTTTCAGGTGCTGGGTGCTAATTTTGGGTGCTGTTTTGGGTGCTGGGTGCTAATTTTGGGTGATATTTTGGGTGCTGATCTTGGGTGCTGATTTTGGGTGCTATTTCGGGTGCTGGTGGCGGTTCCCTCTCACCCCCCCCTCTCCCCCTCCCTCCCCAATTTTTGGGGTCCCAGCCCAGGTGGAGGGGGCTCGGGAGGCCACGCCCTCACCAGGCAGCAGCCAATCAGAGCCTGAGCTGCGGGAAGGAGGCGGAGCTTGTGTGGATGGTAAAGAGACCCCCCCCCCCAAAACCTCTCACGAGGCCATTGAGACCCTCGGGGGGGGCCACCAACACCCTTCAGGGGGGTACTGACACCCTGGGGGGGCCACTAAAACCCCCGGAGGGGCCACTGACACCCTGGGGGGGCCCCTAAAACCTGGGGAGGGGCCACCAACCCCCCCCCCAGCAGGTCTAACGCTGCCCCCCCCCCCGTTTTCCCAGGCAATTATTTCTACGTGAGCCTCCCCACGGGACCCTCCCAACCCCCCCCCACCCTCCCTGGACCCCCCCGGGGGGCTGAGGGGGCTCAGGACCCCCCCCGGACCCCCCCCAGCGACGTGGAGCTGATCCTGAGCACCATTGAGGGGCTCACGGGGAAACTGCACAGGCTGAGGGTGAGACCCCCAGAAATGGGGTGGGGGGCGAGGGAGGGGGGACATGGAGGGGCATTTAGGGGGTCACGGGGTGGGAAACATGAAGGGGGTCATGGGATGGGGGGGGATATGGAAAAGGTGATGGGATGGGGGGGATATGAAAGGGGTCCTGGAACGAGGGGGGATATGGAAAGGGGTCATGGGATGAAGGGGGATGTGGAAAGGGGTGATGGAATAGGAGGATATGGAAAAGGTGATGGGATGGGGGGATGTGGAAAGGGGTCATGGAATGAGGGGATATGGAAAGGGGTGATGGGATGGGGGGGATATGAAAGGGGTCATGGAATGAGGGGGGATGTGGAAAGGGGTCATGGAATGGGGGGGATGTGGAAAGGGGTCATGGAATGGGGGGGATGTGGAAAGGGGTGATGGAATAGGGGGGATATGAAAGGGGTCCTGGAATGAGGGGGGATGTGGAAAGGGGTTGGGGGGCACATGGAGAATTGGGGGGGGACGTGGATGGGGCTGATGGAATGGGGGGGACAGGGAGGGGACACTGGGGGAGTCATGGAATGGGGGGGACAGGGAGGGGACACTGGGGGAGTCATGGAATGGGGGGGACAGGGAGGAGAGGGGATGTCAAGGGGGTCATGGAGTGGGGGGGTCTCATGGGGTGAGGAGGCACAGTAAGGGCGCTGTGGGGGGGGGAGGGGGAGACACAGACCCTCCCCCACCACTGCCCCTCCCTCACCTTCTCCCCCCCCCTTTCCCAGGCCCTGGAAGTCGCCCACCGGCAGCTCCTGCGCTCGCTGGGGGGGGGGGACGCCCCGACCCCCCCTGGGTGGGCACAGCCCCCCCCTCCCAGCCCCACCAACAGCTCCTGGGCCCTCCTGGGCGCTGCCACCACCCCGGGTGAGACCCTCCCCCACTGCCCCACCCCAGGGGAGACCCCCCCACTCGGGGGGAGACCCCCCCACCCCGGGGGAGACCCCCTGCCACGTCCCCCCCCTTCATTCCCCCCCAACTCCACAACCCCCTTGATATCCTCCCATCCCCCTCACCCCCTTTTCCCCCTTTTCCTCCACCCTTTTTCCCACTTTCTCCCCCTTTTCCCCCCATTTTCCCCTCCCTTTCCCCAATTTTCCCCCCTTTCACCCCTTTCCCCCCGTTTCCCCCTCTTTTCCCCTCCCTTTCCCCCCCTTTTTCCCCCCCCACTCCTCCCTTTTCCAGGCTCCAGATCCCCCTTGACCCAAGGCCCCCTCCCACCTTTAACCAAGGGGTGCCCCCCTGTTCCTCCCCATCCCACTGACCCCCTTTTCCCCCCATTTTCTCCCCCCACTGACCCCCTTCTCCCTCTTTTCCAGGCTCCAGAGCCCCCCTGGCCGAGGACCCCTCCCACCTTTACCCAGGTGGTGCCTCCCTGTTCCTCCCCATCCCACTGACCCCCTTTTCCCCCTCCCTTTCCCCCATTTCCCCCCTTTTTCCCTCCCCTTTCCCCCCCTTTTCCCCCCCCCTTCCTCCCTTTTCCAGGCTCCAGATCCCCCCTGACCCAAGGCCCCCTCCCACCTTTCCCCCATCCCACTGACCCCCTTTTCCCCCCTTTTCCCCCCTTTTTCTCCCCGCACTGACCCCCTTCTCCCTCTTTTCCAGGCTCCAGAGCCCCCCTGGCCGAGGACCCCTCCCACCTTTAACCCCGGGCTGAGGGGGGGTTTTCCCCCCTTCCCCCCCCCGCCATCCCGGGGGTGGGTTTTTGGTTTTTCCCAGGATTTTTGGCTGGAAGGAGGGGCCCCCCCCTTGGCAGGGGCTGCCCGTGGGACCCCCCCCCTCGCATGGCAGCCCCCCCTGAGCCCCCCCCAGGGCTGGATCCGATCTGTATAAAATGCACTTTGTTCCGTTCCCGCCCCCCCCCCCCCAAAAAAACTGCAGCCCCCCCCCACCCCCCGGCTATAAATATGTATGTACGACCCCTCCCCTGTAAATACCCCTCCCCAGGACCCCCAAAACCCCCCCAGGCCCCCCCCAGGGAGCCCCCCAGGCCCCCCCAACCCCCCCAAAATCCCGGGTTTATCCCGACACGGCGACAATCGGGGACCCCGAGGGGGACTGGGGGGGGTCAGGGGGGGTCAGGGGGGTCAGATGGGTGTTCCAACCCCCCCCCCATCCCATAATAACCCCCCCGGGGGTGTCTGATATATATATTATATATAATAGAGCCGAGACCCAGCGGGTGTTGTTGGAAGGTGGAAAATCCCGTTTAGTTTTCCTTCTTTTTCCTCAGGAAAAGGTTTTCCTGAGGGGGTGTGTGTTAATTTATTAATTTATTTTCCAAGGAAAAGGCCAAAGCGGGGCCCAAATTCCTGCCCCCCTGGGATTTGGGGATAAAGGGAATCCTGGAGCTGGTGGGAGGGGTGTGGGAATGGGGTGGGAAGTGTCCACCCGGCTCCTGCTGTCCCAGGACCTTTGGATTCTCTTCAAGGACTAGGAAAGTGCCCAATTCCAGCCTCTCCTGGCGCTGGGATTTGGGAGAAGGGGATCCTGGAGCTCCTGGAGCTGGTGGGAGGGATGTGGGAATGGGATGGGAAGTGTTCCCAGTTCTGTGTCCATGCTGTCCCAGGACCTTTGGATTCCCCTCAAGGACCAATTCCAGCCTCTCCTGGCAGGAATGGGACACCCCGGGTGTCCCCAGTGTCCCATCCCAGGTGTCCTCAGTGTCACATCCTGGTGTCCCTGACGTCCCATTCCCAGTGTCCCCAGTGCCACATCTCAGGTTTTCCTGGTGCCACATCTCAGGTGTCCTCAGTGTCACATCCCGGTGTCCCTGCTGTCCCAGTGTCCCTTCTGTCCCATTCCCAGCATTCCCAGTGTCACCAGGTGCAGATCTGTCCCATTCCCAGCATTCCCAGTGTCACCAGGTGCAGATCTGTCCCATTCCCAGCATTCCCAGTGTCACCAGGAGCAGATCTGTCCCATTCCCAGCATTCCCAGTGTCACCAGGTGCAGATCTGTCCCATTCCCAGCGTTCCCAGTGTCACCAGGTGCAGATCTGTCCCATTCCCAGCGTTCCCAGTGTCACCAGGAGCAGATGTGTCCCATTCCCAGCGTTCCCAGTGTCACCAGGAGCAGATGTGTCCCATTCCCAGCGTTCCCAGTGTCACAAGGTGAAGATCTCGTCCTCTGTGTCCCGCAGCGCGGCCGCCCGGGGGGTCCTGGTGAGGGGTCGTGGGCCCAGCCGGGGCCCTTCCCGGGGGGATGAGGGACTCTCTGGGATCCTCTGGGATGCTCCGGAATCACCGGGGCTGTGGGGACACAGCGGTGTCACCCCGGACCCCCATCCCTGTCCCCATCCCATCCACGTCTCCATCCTCATCCCATCCCTGGCCTCGTCCCTGCCCCACCCTTATCCTGTCCCCATCCCATCCTGGACCCCATCCCTGTCCTGTCCTGTCTCTATCCTGGCCTCCCATCACTGTCCCATCCCATCCCATCCCATCCCATCCCATCCCTGTCTTTGTCCCTGTCCCCACCCTGATCCCCTCCCAGTTCTTGTTTCCATCCTTATCCTGTCCTGTCCTGGTCCCCATCCCATCCTTGTCTCTCTCCTCATCCCATCCCTGTCCTTATCCTGGTCCCCATCCCATCTTGTCTCGCTCCTCCTCCCATCCCTGTCCTTATCCTGGTCCCCATCCCATCCTCCTTCCCATCCTGTCCTAATCCCTGTCCTCATCCCATCCCTGCCCTGTTCTGTCGTCATCCCTGTCCCACCCCACCCCATCCCATCCCATCTGTGCTCCATCCCATCCCGTCCCTGTCCCTGTCCTGGTCCCCCATCCCATCCCACCTGTGCTCCATCCCACCCCAGCCCATCCCAGATTTGGGCCGGGGCTCACCCGGAGCGCCGGTGCCGGATCTGCTGCGCCGCGGCCGCCTTGGAGCGGCCGATCTCGGTGTCCAGGTGCCGCAGGAATTCCATGGCCGACAGGTCGTGCCGGGACGGGACCGGGGGCTCCGGGGGGTCGGGAATGTCCTGGGGCTCGTCCCCCTGGAGGGGCTGGGACTGGGATCCCGCCGGGATGAGCAGGGTGGGCTTCAGGAAGATGGTGTCCGACGTGTAGAGGCGGTTGGCACGTTGGATCTGCTCCATCTGGCCAGGAGAGGGACAGGGATGGGGTGGGATTGGGACCAGGATAGGGATAGGGATGGGGTGGGGTGGGATTGGGATCAGGATAGGGACAGGGATGGGGTGGGATTGGGATCAGGATAGGGACAGGGATGGGGTGGGGTGGGATTGGGACCAGGATAGGGACAGGGATGGGATGGGGTGGGATTGGGATCAGGATAGGGACAGGGATGGGGTGGGATTGGGACCAGGATAGGGACAGGGATGGGGTGGGGTGGGATTGGGACCAGGATAGGGACAGGGATGGGATGGGGTGGGATTGGGACCAGGACAGGGACAGGGATGGGATGGGGTGGGATTGGGACCAGGATAGGGACAGGGATGGGGACAGGGATGGGGTGAGGACAAGAATGGGGACAAGATAAAGGTCAGGACAGGGACAAAGACAGGGATGGGATGAGGATGGAGATGTGGATGGGATGGGGACAGGGACGGGAGTCAGGACCGGGATGGGGACCGGAATTGGATAAGGGGCAGGACAGGGACGGGATGAGACAGGGATGGGGACCAGGACAGGGGTGAGATGAGGATAGAGCAAGGACGCGGGGCAGGACAGGGATAAGTGAGGGACGGCAGGGAACCGGCCCCGGGCTGACCCCCGTGGCCCGCGGGGACACCCCGAGCGGTCCCTCCCCGCCGCTCCCCCCGTCCCCCGTGTCCCCCCACCCCGCTCACCGTGACCCCGTAGCGCAGCGCCAGCCCCGGCAGGGTGTCCCCGGGCTGCAGGCGGTGCTCCCGGGGGGCCGCCCCGGCCCCGCCGCTCCCCGCCATGGCCCGGGGGGGGGGGTCCCGGCCCGCGGGTCCCTCGGGGGGGTCGCGGCCCGGCCCCGCCGCTCCCTCAGCCCCGGGCCCCGCCGCGCCGCCGGGGGGCCTGCTGGGGTTGTAGTCCTGAACGGGCACCCTCCGCCTTCACCCCCGTGCACTGATAGCTGAGGAAAGAACTACAACTCCCATCATGCTTCGGGGGGCGCCCGGCGCGCTCTCTGATTGGTCGCTGCCCCTCGCGCACAGCCGCCTGGGAGGAAGGAACCCGGAAGTGAGGGTCGGTTGCCATGGTGACCGCGGAGCCGCCATGTCCTTCAAGCGCGATGGGGACGATCCGGGGCCGCTCGGGGCGTTGCAGGTGAGGCTGGGACCCCCCCCCGGACCGCCCTCATGGCCTCCCAAAGCGCCCAGGGCCAGACCCGGCCGCCCCGCACAGCCTCCGGGGTTGCCTCCGTATTGCGGCCTGAGCCCCCCCGGGACCTCTCAGCTCTTCCCTGGAACCCCCCCTAACCCTTCCCGAACCCTCCCGGGTCCCCTCAGCCCTCCCCCGAACCCCCCCCCCGGCGACCCCTAAGACCTTCCCTGAATCTCCCCGCCCTTCCCTTGGGCCTCCCTGCCCCTAAACCCCCCCCCAACCTCCTCACGGGGGGGTCCCCAGGGCTCTGAAGGTCCCTGTGCTCAGGGGGGGATGAGGACACATTTTGGCACAAATTGAGGCCGGGGGGAGGGCGTTGGGGGGTGTGACCCCTCAGTTGACGCCCCCTGTGCCCCCCCAGAAACGCCGGGTCTCCGACCTGTTGGCAAATTCCATCCCCGAGGACGAGGCGGTGCTGCTGCGGAGCGGGAGGTGAGGGACCCCCGCCTTGGGCTGGGGGGGCCTCGAGGGGACCCCTACGGTGGGGGGGGTGGTCCTGGCAGTGTCCCCACGGTGTCCCCGCGTGTCCCCGTTGCCAGGTTCGCCTGTGCCGTGTGTCCCCACCGCCCCGTGTGTGACACTCTGGAGGCCCTGGCCGTGCACAGGGCGGGCAGGAGGCACCTGCACAGTGAGTGGGGCTGGGGGTGGGCACTGGGGCCCCTTCCATGTCCCCATGTCCCTTCCCTCTCCCTGAGTTCCCTACTGTGTCCCTTTCCCTGTCCCCGAGTCCCCTTCCTTCTCTCTGTGTCTCCTTCTTTCTCCTCTTCGCTGTCCCTGTGTCCCCTTCCCTGTCACTTTTCCCATCCCCTCTTCCCACATCCCCTTCCCTGTCCCCGGGTGCCCTTCCCTGTCCTGTTTCCCCTTTTCTGTCCCTCTGTCCCCGTGTCTCCTTCCCTGTCCCCACGTCCCCTTCCTTCTCCCCTTTCCCTGTCCCCATGTCCTGTTCCCTGTCCCTGTGTCCCTTTCCTTGTCCCCACATCCCTTTCCCTGTCCCATTCCCTGTCCCTGTGTCCCATTCCCTGTCCCTGTGTCCCTTTCCTTGTCCCCACATCCCTTTCCCTGTCCCACTCCCTGTCCCTCTGTCCCTCTCCCCTCATCCCATCCCTGTTTTCCAGGTCTCCAACGTTCCTACGGCCGGAATCGCTCCCTCCCGGCTCCAGCTCCGGCTCCAGAGGCTCCGGGAGAGGCTCCAGGTGTGCAGGTGGGTGTGGCCTCACCTGCCCCACCCGTGGGACCCCCCGTGGCACCCCCTGAGCCACATCCCTCCCGTTCCCTCCCGTTCCCAGGGATCCCAGGCCCCGCTCCTGGCACGGACACGACGGATCGCCCGGAGCGCCCTCCTGAAATCCGCCCCCTACAGCAGCTGCTGCCGCAGGAAAGGGTCGGGAACACCGGGAATGGCGCTGGGAATGCCGGGAGAGGGGCTGGGAGGGTGAGGGGGGAGCTCTGGGATTCCCAGGAGGGGACTGGTGGGATGAGGGAGAGCTCTGGGATTCCCAGGAAAGGGATTGGGAGGGTGAGGGAGTGCTCTGAGATTCCCAGAGAAGGGACTGGGAAGAGAAGTAAAGCTCTGGGATTACTGGGAAAGGGACTGGGAGGGTGAGGGAGAGCTCTGGGATTACTGGGAAAGGGATTCCTTGGATGAGGAGGGTGGGGGAAAGCTCTGGGATTCCCAGGAGGGGACTGGTGGGATGAGGGAGAGCTCTGGGATTCCCAGGAAAGGGACTGGGAGGGTGAGGGAGTGCTCTGAGATTCCCAGAGAAGGGACTGGGAAGAGAAGTAAAGCTCTGGGATTACTGGGAAAGGGACTGGGAGGGTGAGGGAGAGCTCTGGGATTACTGGGAAAGGGATTCCTTGGATGAGGAGGGTGGGGGAAAGCTCTGGGATTGCCGTGTCCTCGCTGCCATCAGGTGTTTGTGGGACTCACTCCTCATTCCCTGTCCCATCCCAGGGCCCAGGGAAGCAGCTCCAGGGCTGGCACCACCCGGACGGTGCCGGAGCCGCTCCGGAATGTGGGAGAATCCCAGGATGTGGGAGAATCCCGAGGATCCCCAGCCCTGCTGCTGGAACACGGCAGCGGGAGGGCAGGTGGGAGCCAGGGGGCACCTCCGGGGCAGGATCGGGATCATCCCGTTCCAGAGGGTCCCACACCCACCTCATTCCCTCTCCAGATGTTCCGAAGGCTCCGACCCGGAAAGGAAAATCCTGCTCGGTGTGGGACGAGCTGAGCCCGGAGCGGCGCCGGGTCCTGCAGCACCACCTGCACCTGCGCAGGTGAGCTGGGCCCAAACCGGGCCTAAATGAGCCCAAACTGAGCCCAAATTGAGTCCTGAACAAGCCCAAAGGGAGCCCAAACCAAGCCAAAACTGAGCCCAGATTGAGCCTTAACTGAGCCCCAAAATGAGCCCAAACTGAGCCTAAACTGAGCCCCCAAATGAGCCCAAACCGAGCCAAAACTGAGCCCAGACTGAGCCCCCAAATGAGCCCAAACTGAGCCCCCAAATGAGCCCAAACTGAGCCTAAACTGAGCCCCCAAATGAGCCTAAACTGAGCCCCCAAATGAGCCCAAACTGAGCCTAAACTGAGCCCCCAAATAAGCCCAAACTGAGCCCCCAAATGAGCCTAAACTGAGCCCCCAAATGAGCCTAAACTGAGCCCCAAACTGAGCCTAAACTGAGCCCCCAAATGAGCCTAAACTGAGCCCCAAACTGAGCCTAAACTGAGCCCAAAATGAACCCAAACTGAGCCCCAAATGCCCCAAAACTGAGCCCAAATGCCCCCAGGCAAGCCCAGCCAGGCCCAGCCGAGCCCCCCTGACCGGTCCCTCCGTCCCCAGCTCCGGGTGGATCCAGGATCCCTGCGGGAAGTGGGTCAAGGACGGGAACGCCGAGTTCGACTCGGACGAGGACGAGCCCCCGGCGCTGCCACCGACGTGACCCTCCCTGGCCCCAAATCCCCCCGGGAATCCCGGCCTGGACACCTGGAGCTGTGGGAGCCGCTGGGAAAAGGGGGGTCTGGGGGATCCCGGTGTTTTCCTGCTCAACCTGGTGCCTTTTTGGGGTGTCACTCCCCATACCCGATTCCCTGGATACGAACGCCCCGATCCCGAAAATCCCGTGTGGCACAATCCTGCCCCAAAGGGGTCTCAAATCCGTGTCTTTCCAGCTTTATTTCCAGCATTCCCAGAGATCTCCCGTTCCTGGGGGGTTGGTTTAGGTTTTCTTCTGCTTCCGGCCTGGGGGGAGAGAAAAGTGGGGGGGGGTCAGGTCTGGGAATTCCTGGGATTCCTCCCCCCAGTTCCTGCCTGGAGGGGACTCAGGGGCGCTCCCAAAGCTCTTTGTAGCGTGTGGGGGGTCAGGTCTAGGCTCCCCTTCCCCCCAATCCCTGGGCCTCTCCACCAATTCCTGGGATTCCCTTTCCCCCCCAGTCCCTGAGACTCCCTACCAATTCCTGGGATTCCCTTTCCCCCCCAATCCCTGAGACTCCCCACCAATTCCTGGGATTCCCTTTCCCCCCAATCCCAGGGATTCCCCCCACCAATCCCTAGGATTCCCCCTATTCCTGGTGGGATTCCCTTTCCCCCCCAGTTCCCGGGCTCCCCCCCAATTCCTGCCCGGACGGGGGACACTCCTGGAGGTCGTCTCGGTTCTCCCTCCCGGTCCCTGTGACTCTCCCCCCCCAATTCCCGGGATTTAAGGGGTGGGTCGGGTCCGATCTCTCTCCCCGCCCCTCGCCCCGCCCCCATTCCCGGTTTTCCCGCGGCATTCCCGGTTTTCCCGCTCACGGAGCTCGTTGTTCCTGGTGATGGCGCTGGCGGCGCGGGCGCGGGGGCCCTGCTGGGTGAAGTGGTACCCGAAGCGCAGCACGGAGGGGCAGCGCTCCAGCATCGCCGCCATCTCCATCTCCGCCGTGTCCCCCAGGCGCTGGCACTGCGGGGGGGGGGACACATCAGGGATAGCCCTGTCACCTCCCCTGTCCTCCAGGGACAGCCCTGTCACCTCCCCTGTCACCCTGTCCCTCCCCTGTCCCCCCCCCCCGTGTTCCCCAGGGACACCCCTGTCACCTCCCCGGTCCCCCATCTCCACGGTGTCCCCTCAGGCACTGGCACTGGGGGGGGGGACACATCAGGGACAGCCCTGTCACCTCCCCTGTCACCCAGGGACACCCCTGTCCCCCCCTCCGTGTTCCACAGGGACACCCCTGTCACCTCCCCTGTCACCCAGGGACACCCCTGTCACCTCCCCTGTGTCCCCCTGTCCCCCCTGTGTCCCCCTGTCCCTCCCCTGTCCCCCACCTCCATCTCCACATTGCAGGGGGTGACATTGCAGGGGGTGACATTGCAGGGGGTGACATTGCAGGGGGTGATATTACAAGGGGTGACATTGCAGGGGGTGACAGTGCCAGGGGTGTTACAGGGGGTGACGTTACAGGGGGTGACATTGCAGGGGGTGACAGTGCCAGGGGTGACATTGCAGGGGGTGTCCCCCCCGTGCCCACCTGGTTGTCCACGCGGAGCTCGGCCAGGGCGGGGCTGTGGGGCACGGCCTGGATGATGCTCCTCATCCCCGCGCTCGTGATGAAGTTGGACTCGAGGTTGAGGCTCTGCAGGGTCTTGTTCTCCATCAGCATCTCGGCCACCGCCTGGGGGGACCTCGGGGTCACCTCGGGGGCACCTCGGGGTCACCTCGGGGTCACCTCGGGGGCACCTCAGGGGTGGGGACATCCCCGGCCGTGTCCCGGCTGCAGGGGATGGAGGGAGAGGCAGCGACACCCGGGTTTGGTGGTGGCGGGGCAGGGAATGTCCCCAGCGTGTCCTGGGACCTTTGGGGACACGGGGACACGGGGCTGGGACTGTCCCCAACATGTCCAGGGACTTCTGGGAACACAGGATTCCAACCCCTGGATTTGCCGGTGCTTGGAGGTGGAATGTGGGGCCAGGACTGTCCCCAGCTCGTATGGGGGGACATTTGGGGACATGGTGGGGTGAGGCAGGGACTGTCCCCAACCCGTGTGGGGACAAGGGGTGTGAGGGAGGGACTGTCCCCAGCCCGTGTGGGGACATTTGGGGACAAGGGGGTGAGACAGGGACTGTCCCCAACCCGTGTGGGGACATCTGGGGAAAAGGGGGTGAGACAGGGACTGTCCCCAACCCGTGTGGGGACATCTGGGGACACATTTGGGGACAAGGGGGTGAGGCAGGGACTGTCCCCAGCCCGTGTGGGGACATTTGGGGACAAGGGGGTGAGACAGGGACTGTCCCCAACCCGTGTGGGGACATCTGGGGACAAGGGGGGTGAGGCAGGGACTGTCCCCAGCCCGTGTGGGGACATCTGGGGACACTCACGTGGGCCACGGGGTCGTTGCTCCTGGTGGCCACCAGGCTGAGCCTCTTGACGTGGGTGTTGGTTTTCATGGCCTCGCAGATGGCCTTGAGCGTGGGGATGGGAATGTCCTGGGGAGGGGACACCCGGGGGTCACCCGGGGCAGGGGGACATCCCCAGCAGGACAGGGGGCCACCAGGGTGTCCCCAGGGTGTCCCCAGGGGGGTGGAGGTGGCTCCAAGGGGACGGAGGAGGCTCCAAGGGACATCCCTGAGAGGGTGCTGGGTGTCGCCTGGGGGGGTGGCAGTGTCACCGAGGGGGTGTGGGATGTCACCAAAGGGACAGGGGTGTCCCCAGATGAGGAGGAGCCTCCCGGGGGTGCCCTGGAGGCACTCAGGGATGGGGACAAACACCTTGGGGACACACCAGGACAGGGGACGAACCCCGTGGGGACACCCCGGGAGAGGGAGGACTCCCTTGGGGACACCCCGGGGTGGGAACCGTCACCCTGGGGACACACTGGGGACACTGTGGGTCCCTGACCTTGATGTTGTTGAGGTTGACGTCCTCCAGGGCCGGGTCGTTGTCTCGGATCCGCTGCAGCGTCTCCTCCACGTTTGTGGGGTTCGGGGGCTCGTCCGGCACCGGCTTGTACGAGTCGGGTTTGACCACGCCTGGGACACGGGGACAGGGGTGGGGACACGGGGACAGGGACAGGGGTGGGGACACACGGGGGGACACGGGGACAGGGGTGGGGGGACACGGGGACAGGGACAGGGGTGGGGGGACACGGGGACAGGGACAGGGGTGGGGACACGGGGACAGGGACAGGGGTGGGGACACGGGGACAGGGATGGGGGCGTGTGTGACACACATGGGGATGGGAACACACGGGGATACAGGGGACAGGGACATGTGTGACACACATGGGGATGGGGACACGTGGGGGACACAGGGACAGGGACGGGGATGTGTGTGACACACACGGGGATGGGGACACACATGGGGATACAGGGGACAGGGATGTGTGTGACACACACGGGGATGGGGACACGTGGGACAGGGGACAAGGACACGTGTGACACACAGAGGGACACACGGAACACACAGGGACGGGAACACGTGTGGGGGACACATGTGAAAGGGGACAGGGACATGTGGGGACACATGTGACACACATGGGACGGGGACACGCGTGTGTGGGGTCACAGGAATCCCAGAGGGGGTTTGGGCCCCAAATCCCGCCCGGGCAGCCCCAGGGACACAGTTTTCCATGTCCTGGGGGCTCGTCCCCGTGTCCCTTGTCCTGTGTTCCCATGTCCCCTGTCCCGGGGGTGTGTCCCTTGCCCCGTGTCCCCGTGTCACTCACTGTTGATGCCCTCGGTGTTGGAGATGTTCCCGCTGCAGATGGCATCGTAGTACTGCTTGTTGCTCATCAGGGTGTACATGCCCAGGATGGCTGGGGGGGGACACGGGGGGTCAGGGGGGTGGCCAGGACACTCCTGTCCCCTTGGGACATGCCCAGGATGGCTGGGGGGGGACACGGGGGGTCAGGGGGGTGGCCAGGACACCCCTGTCCCCTCGGGACACCCCTGTCCCCTTGGGACATGCCCAGGATGGCTGGGGGGGGACACGGGGGTCAGGGGGGTGGCCAGGACACCCCTGTCCCCTCAGGATACCCCTGTCCCTTGGGACATGCCCAGGATGGCTGGGGGGACACACGGGGGGTCAGGGGGGTGGCCAGGACACCCCTGTCCCCTCGGGATACCCCTGTCCCCTTGGGACATGCCCAGGATGGCTGGGGGGACACACGGGGGGTCAGGGGGGTGGCCAGGACACCCCTGTCCCCTCGGGATACCCCTGTCCCTTGGGACATGCCCAGGATGGCTGGGGGGACACACAGGGGGTCAGGGGGGTGGCCAGGACACCCCTGTCCCCTCGGGATGCCCGTGTCCCCTTGGGACATGCCAGGATGGCTGAGGGGACACCCCCATCCAAGGCCCCTCCCTGTCCCAGCCCCCGGACCCACCGGCGAGGTCGCACATCTCGGCCTCGGTGGCGTTGGCCAAGGCCTCCTCCAGCTCCGGCTCCAGCGTGATCTGCTCCTCCCGAGGGATCTCCCGCGTCGGGTTCTTGGGCACGAACGGCTTCCCTGGGCACGGGGACACCGGGAATGGGGACACGGGGACACCGGGGATGGGGACACGGGGACACCGGGGATGGGGACACCGGGAATGGGGACACGGGGACACCGGGGATGGGGACACGGGGACACCGGGGATGGGGACACAGGGACACCTGGAATGGAGACACGGGGACACTGGAAATGGGGACACGGGGACACCGGGAATGGGGACACGGGGACACCGGGGATGGGGACACGGGGACACCGGGGCAGGGAGACACGGGGACACTGGAAATGGGGACACGGGGACACCGGGAATGGGGACACGGGGACACTGGGAACGGGGAGACAAACAGCTTCCCTGGGCACGGGGACACCAGGAATGGGGACACGGGGACACTGGGAACGGGGAGACAAACAGCTTCCCTGGGCACGGGGACACCAGGAATGGGGACACCGGGAATGGGGACACAAACGGCTTCCCTGGGTATGGGGACATGTCACACCAGGAGTGGGGACATGAGGACACCGGGAATGGTGGCACAGGGACAGGGTCACACTGGGAACGGTGGTACAGGGACACAGAGACATTGTGACACCAGGAGGGACACTGGGAATGGTGGCACGGGGACAGGGTCACACTGGGAATGGTGGAGGGACACAGGAACGCTGGGCAGGGGCATTGGGAATGGCAGCACTGGGACGTGGGGACACCAAGCATGGTGGCACAGGGACAGGGTCACACTGGCCGGGGACACCAGTGTGGTGGCCCAGGGGATGTGGCTGATGGGGCTTATGGGGACGTGGCCACCACCAGGAGGGGACCTGGCCCAGGGTGGGGGGACTGTGCCAGGGGTGACACTGCCAGGGGTGACACTGCCAGGGTGGCTTCACCAGGGTGGCCTTACTGGGAGGCACATGGAAGGGGGTGGCCCCATGGGGGGGTGACGTTGCCAGGGGATGTCCTGGATGCTACAGGTGGCGTTGCCGCAGGGTGGCATGGCCGGGGTGGCCTCTCTGGGGGTGGCACTGGGAGGGGGACATCGCCATGGGGGGGCTGTGCTGGGGGGGGACATTGCTGTGGGTGACCACCTTGGGGGGTGTCATTGTCAGGGGGTGACATTTCGGGGGGTGACACTGCCAGGGGGTGGCATTGCTGCGGGTGACCACCTTGGGGGGTGCCATTGCCAGGGGGTGACATTTCAGGGGGTGACACTGCCAGGGGGTGGCATTGCTGCGGGTGACCACCTTGGGGGGTGCCATTGCCAGGAAGTGACATTTCAGGGGGTGACCATCTGGGGAGGGTGACATTGCCGGGGGGGGCCGTGCCCGGGGCTGGCACAGGGGGGTGACATTGCCCGGGGCTGGCGGGGGCCCAGCTCGCCCGGGACACCCGACCCCGCCGGCCAGGCCGAGCTAAATATACCCGACCCCCCCTGTCCCTGCCGCCATGGCCCCCCCATGTCCCCCCCGTGTCCCCCCCGTCCCCCGGGGGTCCCCACACCTTTCTTCTCGCCGGTGAAGGGCACCAGGTCCTGGCGCTCCTCGGCTTCCAGCGCCTGCTTTTCCAGGTGCTGCAGCAGCGCTTCCCGATCCAGGGGGCCCGTGGGGCTCTTCTGGGTCTGGTCCCGCTGCCGGAGCCCCGCCGGCAGCATCACGTTCTGGGGAGGGGGGGACACACCTGTGTCACCCACGGGGGTCCCCGGTGTCCCCAGGGTCGCCCCCGAGCTGTCCCCGGGCCCACCTCGGGGTCCATCTCCATCAGCTCCATGTCCAGCTGGGCCAGTTCCTCGGGGGACAATTCCTGCAGGATTTTGTCCTCGTCGATGTCCCGGTACTTCTCCAGCTCCTCCCGGTACGATGTCATGGCTGATGGGGGGTCCTGGGGGGGGGAACGGGGGGTTTAGGGGTTGGGGGGACCCCCCTGTGCTGTGGGGACACCCCCTCCCCTTGTGTGACGGTCACGGTGACGCTCCCTTGTGCCACCACCCTCCTGGAATTGGGTCCCCGTTGGATCGAGGGGTCCCGGGTGGGGGGCCTGGGGGGCTTTGCTCAGGGAAAATTGAGTCCCACCCCCCAAGGGACCCCCCAAATTGCCTGAGGGGGCTCATCCCAAACCAGCACCACCTGGATTCCCCCTCCGGCCCCACCAAAATCCCTGGGAAGCAGGAGAGGGAAAGGCCAAGGATGTGAATCCCCAACAGGTGGGTTGTGCCCCCACCATAAAAGGACCCAAATTTAGGGGTGTGTCCCCTCTGATTTTGAGGACGCAGGTGGGGGGGACACACCTGGGAGGGCTCAGCCCCCCTGGGCTGCCAGAGCTGCTGCAGGCGACCCCAGGAACTGGTATCGTTTGGGATGCGGGATTTGGGATTTGGGTTGGGAGAGGGGCCCCAAGGTGCTGCCCCAAACCCCCCCGAAGGTGGGACAGAGCCCGGGAGGGGGGCAGGACCCCCCCTGAGTGATCCCACCAGGTGGGAGATCCTGGGAATGCCGCTGCCAACGGACCCGGCCCTCCCAAATCCCACATCCCAGTGGGAATACCACGCCCTCCAGAACCGGGATTTGGGATTTGGGAACTGGGGGCACTCCAAGGTGCCTCCCCAAAGATCCCCGAGGTGGCCCCGAGCCCCCCGGGGAGGGGCTGCAGGGTGGGAGCTCCCCCGGGAAAACGCGGCTCCCGACGGCCCCAAATCCCCCCAAATCCCTTGTCCCGGTGGGAATTCCGTGCCCCCCGCCCCCCGCGGTGCCTCCCCCCGGTACCGGATCCTGCCTGGAGCGAGTCCCGGGGCTGAGCCAAAGGGCTCCGGCCGCGCAGGGCATGAGATCAGCGATTTATTCTGCGCCGGGGAGGGGCTGGATCACATATCCCAGAGCCCGGCACTTATCGAGCCCGGCCAGCCCCGGGGGGGCCCCACCCCGGCCCCGGGGGGGCCCCCGCGCACCCCAAAACCTGCCCGGGATGCACCGGGACGGGCGGAACCCCGGGGGGGATTCCCGGCCCCCCCCCGATTCCCGGGAGTGTTTTCCCTCCCCGGATCAGGTTTGGAGGGTTTGGAGCAGCTGGGAATGAAAGGTGTGTTTATTGTAGGGTCTCCTGGAATACAGGGGTTCCCGCACGCCCTGTGTTTACTGTAGGGTCTCCTGGAAAACGGGAGAGTAACCCCCGTTTATTGTAGGGTCTCCTGGAAAACAGGGGATCCCACAAACTGCTTGTTTATTGTAGGGTCTCCCGGAAAACAGGGGATCCCACACAGCCCCTGTTTATTGTAGGGTCTCCTCAAAAAAACACCCCACGCTTCCTGCAGGATCTCTGGGAAAACAGGGGATCCCACACCCCCTGTTTATTGTAGGGTCTCCTGGAAAACAGGGAATCCCAGGAAAACAGGGAATCCCAGGAAAACAGGGAATCCCACACCCTCCCTTGTTTAGGATCCCCTGGAAAACACTGACCCCACCCCCCGTGTTTACTGTAGGGTCTCCCACCGCCGACCCCAAACAAACCTCGCACTTCCCCCTCCGCCAAAACTTCCATTTATTCCTATTTTTTTACCTACAAAAATCCGGAACCCTGTCACGGGATAAACCCCCCCCCAGGGAAAACAAGCCCCTGGAACGGGATAAATCCAAGGAAGCGCCGCTGCCGGGGGGCCGGGACCCCCCCATGTCCCCAGTCCCTCCCTGGGCATCCCAGTGGGGTCCCAGGTGTATCCCAGTAGTGTCCCTGTCTTATCCTGGTTTTATCCAGTGTGTTTCTATCCCTGCTGTATCCCAGTGTTATCCTGGTTTTATCCTGTTTTTATCCCATTTCCATCCCAACGTTATCCCGGCTATATCTCGTTCCTATCCCTGCCGGCCCCCGGCATTATCCCGGTGTTATCCCGCTTCTATCCGGGCGTTATCCCGGTGTTATCCCGCTTCTATCCAGGTGTTATCCCGCTTCTCTCCGGGCGTTATCCCGGTGTTATCCCGCTTCTCTCCGGGCGTTATCCCGGTGTTATCCCGCTTCTATCCAGGTGTTATCCCGCTTCTCTCCGGGTGTTATCCCGGTGTTATCCCCCTTCTATCCGGGCGTTATCCCGGTGTTATCCCGCTTCTATCCGGGTGTTATCCCGGTGTTATCCCGCTTCTATCCAGGCGTTATCCCGGCTGTATCCCGCTTCCATCCCCGCCGTTATCCTGGTTGTATCACGTTTCTATCCCGGTTGTATCCCAGTTTTATCCCGTTTCTATCCTGGCACTATCCTGGCTGTTATCCTGCTCCCATCCCCACTGTTATCCTGGTTGTATCCCGTTTCTATCCCAGCACTATCCCAGCTGTTATCCCACTCCCATCCCTGCCATCCCCTGGCGCTATCCCGGTTTTATCCCGTTTCCATCCCGGCGCTATCCCGACTGTATCCCGCTCCCATCCCCGCTGTTATCCTGGTTATACCCTGTTTCTATCCCGGCTGTTATCCCACTCCCATCCCCGCCATCCCCTGGCACTATCCTGGTTTTATCCCGTTTCTATCCCGGCTGTTATCCCACTCCCATCCCTGCCATCCCCTGGCACTATCCCGGTTTTATCCCATTTCTATCCCGGCTGTTATCCCACTCCCATCCCCTGGCGCTATCCCGGTTTTATCCCATTTCTATCCTGGCTGTTATCCCACTCCCATCCCCGCCATCCCCTGGCGCTATCCCGGTTTTATCCCGTTTCTATCCCGGCTGTTATCCCGACTGTTATCCCGACTGTATCCCGCTCCCATCCCCGCTGTTATCCTGGTTATACCCTGTTTCTATCCCGGCTGTTATCCCACTCCCATCCCCGCCATCCCCTGGCACTATCCTGGTTTTATCCCGTTTCTATCCCGGCTGTTATCCCACTCCCATCCCTGCCATCCCCTGGCACTATCCCGGTTTTATCCCATTATCTGTATCCCGCTCCCATCCCCGCTGTTATCCTGGTTATACCCTGTTTCTATCCCGGCTGTTATCCCACTCCCATGCCATCCCCTGGTGCTTATCCTGGTTTTATCCCGTTTCTATCCCGGCTGTTATCCCACTCCCATCCCTGCCATCCCCTGGCGCTTTCCCGGTTTTATCCCGTTTCCATCCCGGCCGTTCTCCCGCTCCCTCCCCGCCGTTATCCCACCATTCTCCCGCCGTTCCCTCGGCTCAGGCGCTGGGAACGCTCTGTTTGATGACGATCTTCTGCCTTCCCGGCCGGGCCGTGGCCGCTCCGGCTCCTCCGGGAGCGGCTCCGGGATCGGGAGGCGCCGGAATTCCCAGGGAGGCTCCGGGCAGGCCGTGGGCCGTGATGTACTTCTTGTAGGCCTCGCGGATGATGCGGAAGGCTCGGATGCTGGAGTAGGGAATGTCGGTGACGGGGTCCCGGTACAGGGCCGGCCGGTGGGTCACCGGGCACAGCTCCCGCACCGGCAGCCGGGGGGGTTTGGATTTCGGGAAGAAGCGCTCGAAGGTCTCGTCGTCGCTGAAGGAGATGAAGGTCCGGGAGCACTTCCCGTAGGGAGAAGGGTCGGAGGAGGGCGGAGGAGGAGGAGGAGGGGGGTCCTGCTCCAGCCTGGGGGAGGGAAAAGGGAGAGGGTAAAAGTGGGATGGAGGGGCTGGGAGTTGGGATTCAGGGGATCTGAGGGGCCCGGAATCCCTGGGTTGGGATCCCTGGGTTGGGATCCCTGGGTTGGGATTAGGGTTGGGATTAGGGTTGGGATTCGGGTTGGAATTCAGGGCCTTCCCCCCCAGGACTGCAGTCTGGGATTCGGGGGCTCCAAGGTGCAGGGAATCCCTGGGTTGGGATTCAGGTTGGGATCCCTGAGTTGAGCACTTCCCGTAGGGAGAAGGGTCGGAGGAGGGCGGAGGAGGAGGAGGAGGGGGGTCCTGCTCCAGCCTGGGGGAGGGAAAAGGGAGAGGGTAAAAGTGGGATGGAGGGGCTGGGAGTTGGGATTCAGGGGATCTGAGGGGCCCGGAATCCCTGGGTTGGGATTCAGAGCCTCCCACCAGGACTGGAGTCTGGGATTTGGGATTTGGGGGCTCCGAGGTGCAGGGAAAGCTGCTGCTCCCTGGGTTGGGATCCCTGGGTTGGGATCCCTGGGTTGGGATCCCTGGGTTGGGATCCCTGGGTTGGGATTCAGGTTGGGATCCCTGGGTTGGGATTCAGAGGGTCCCCCCCAGGACTGAAGTCTGGGATTTGGGATTCAGGGGCTCTGAGGGGCAGGGAAAGCTGCTGCTCCCTGGGTTGGGATCCCTGGGTTGGGATTCAGGTTGGGATCCCTGGGTTGGGATTCAGAGCCTCCCCCCTCCAGGACTGGAGTCTGGGATTTGGGGGCTCCGAGGTGCTGGAAAACCTGCTTTTCCCTCTCCAAAACGGGACGGAGCCTGGGTTGGGATTGGGGTTGGGATTCAGCGCCCAGGGGACCCCCAGGGTGGGCTCAGCTGCCAAATCTGCTCCCGAGACCGGGATTTGGGGGGGTCCAAGGCATTCATCCCTTCCCGTGGCAGGACAGAGCCCGGAGAGGAATCCAGGTTGGGATTCAGCCCCCAGGAGACCCCCAGGGTGGGCTCCCGGTGCCGGAATGTCGGAACTCGGGCTCTCTCAGGTGCTCCCCTCCCTCTCCCCCCTTTCCCTCAGGGCTGGATCCATCCTGGGAATCACGGGGGGGAGGGGGGTCCCCACTGACCCCTCGACGTCCAGGAGGTGCCGGGGGGGCTCCGGGATGACGGGCATGGCCAGGGACAGGTACCGGATCACGGGCCCCACGCACTGACGCTTCTTCTGCACCTGCTTCTTCTTGTCGGCCTCCAGGCGCTCGTAGTTCTCTGGGAACGGCGGGATCGGAGCCGGGAAAGGAGGGGGGGGGAAAGGTCAGGGCCTGGCTCACACCCCCCAGCCTGGGGACGCGGCTCCTGGAGCTGTTCCAGGGGGCCCTGTGCCATTCCAGGCACCTCTGTGAAATCCCAGGGGGCCCCGTGCCTTTCCAAGGATCCCCTGTGCCATTCCAAGAATCCCTGTGTCACTCCAGGGGGCCTGGAGCCATTCCAGGGGTCCCTGTGCCACTCCAGGCACCCCTGCGAAAATTCCAGGGGGCCCTGCACCATTCCAGGGAGCCTGGAGCCATTCCAAGGTCCCTGTGCCATTCCAAGAATCCCTGTGCCATTCCAAGGACCCCTGTGCCACTCGAGGGTCCCTGTGCCATTCCAAGGACCCCTGTGCCATTCCAGGGGTCCTGGCACTGTTCCAGAGGTCCCTGTGCCATTCCAAGAATCCCCTGTGCCACTCCAGGGGGTCCTGGCACTGTTCCAGGGGTCCCTGTGCCATTCCAGGCATCCCTGTGACATTCCAAGGATCCCTTTTCCCTCCCAGCTCCACTCCAGGGATCCCTGGGCCATTCCAGGGATCCGATTTCCCTCCAGCTCCATCCTCAGGGTCCCTGTGCCATTCCAAGCATCCCTCCCCCCACATCCCAGCTCCATTCCAAGGATCCCTGTGACATTCCAGGCATCCTTTCCCCTTCCCCCCCCCCCCCTCCAGCTCTGTTCCAGGGATCCTGGTGCCATTCCAAGGATCCCATTCCCCTCCCCATCCCTGGCTCCATTCCAGTGGTCTCTGTGCCATTCCAAGAATCCCTGTCCCATTCCTGGATCCCAGCCCCGTTCCCAGGATCCCAGGGCTCACCCAGGGAGCGCAGGTTGATCTTCTCTGTGATTCCCAGTCCCATTCCCAGGATCCCAGCCCCATTCCCAGGATCCCAGCCCCATTTCCAGATCCCAAATCTCACCCAGGGAGCGCAGGTTGATCTCCTCAGTGATTCCCAGCCCCATTCCCAGGATCCCAGCCCCATTCCCAGATCCCAAATCTCACCCAGGGAGTGCAGGTTGATCTCCTCTGTGATTCCCAGCCCCATTCCCAGGATCCCAGCCCCATTCCCGGGATCCCAGCCCCATTCCCAGATCCCAGAGCTCACCCAGGGAGCGCAGGTTGATCTCCTCTGTGATTCCCAGCCCCATTCCCGGATCCCAGCCCCATTCCCAGGATCCCAGAGCTCACCCAGGGAGCGCAGGTTGATCTCCTCAGTGATTCCCAGCCCCATTCCCAGGATCCCAGCCCCATTCCCAGATCCCAGAGCTCACCCAGGGAGCGCAGGTTGATCTCCTCCGTGATTTTGGCCTCCTCCAGCAGCTCCTCCTGGGTCAGGGGCCTCTCGTAGCTCGTTCCCCCTTTTTTCCTCTTGGACTGGACCTGGCGCTCCTGGAGCCTCAGGAACGTTTGCCGCGTGTGCTCCGTGGTCGACTGGCGCATGTGCTTCCTGCCTGCGGAAAACCGGGATTGGGAACGGCACCCGGGAACATCCTGGGACAGCACTCCCAGCCTGGAGCACTGGGAGCATCCTGGGAGCCCATTCCCAACCCCTGGAGCACTGGGAGCATCCTGGGAGCCCATTCCCAACCCCTGGAGCACTGGGAGCTCTCCTAGAGGATCCCATTCCTGACCCCTGGAGCACTGGGAGCTCTCCCAGAGGATCCCATTTCTAGCTTTCCCAGAGGATCCCATTCCCAACCCCTGGAGCACTGGGAGCATCCTGGGAGCCCATTCCCAACCCCTGGAGCACTGGGAGCTCTCCCAGAGGATCCCATTCCCAACCCCTGGAGCACCAGGAGCTCTCCCAGAGGATCCCATTCCCAACCCCTGGAGCACCGGGAGCTCTCCCAGAGGATCCCATTTCTAGCTTTCCCAGAGGATCCCATTCCCAACCCCTGGAGCACTGGGAGCTCTCCCAGAGGATCCCATTCCCAACCCCTGGAGCACCAGGAGCTCTCCCAGAGGATCCCATTCCTGACCCCTGGAGCACTGGGAGCTCTCCCAGAGGATCCCATTTCCAGCTTTCCCAGAGGATCCCATTTCCAACCCCTGGAGCACTGGGAGCTCTCCCAGAGGATCCCATTTCCAGCCTGGATCACCGTGACCCCGTTTCCAGTCTGGATCACCAGGAGCTCTCCCAGAGGATCCCATTTCCATCCCAGCACTTGGAGTTCTCCAGGACCCCGTTTCCGACCTGGCTCCCCGGGAGCTCTCCCAAAGGGTCCCATGTCCGTCCCAGACCCCAATGTCCCTCCTCCCAGCCCGTCTGCCCATTCCCAGCCCATCCCATTCCACACTCACTGTCTCCCACGTCATCCTGGAGCTCCAGGGGGATGGATTTCACCTCCCGAGGTTTTTGGGATCCCCCTCGGGGCCCCTCCGGCTTCTTGGGCCGGAGGCTCTTCAGGGGCTCCTGCGGGACGAGACCCAGACCGTGAGCCAGGAAAAAACCCAAATCCATGGATTCGGCCCCGCTTTTCCCAGCAGGAGCTCTCTGCACCCGGTAGGCCTTGGTGAGGACGTGGCCAAGAGCCAAGAAATCCCAAATCCATGGATTTGGCCCTGCTTTTCCCAGGAGGAGCTCTCCGTACCCAGCAGGCCTTGGTGAGGGCACAGCCAAGAAAACCCCAAATCCATGGATTTGGTGTCGCTTTTCCCAGGATAAGCTCTCATACCCGCTAGGCTTTGGTGAAGACATAACCAAGAGCCAAGGAAACCCCAAATCCATGGATTTGGCCCCGCTTTTCCCAGGATAAGCTCTCATACCCACTAGGCCTTGGTGAGGACACAACCCAGAGCCAAGGAATCCCCAAACCCATGGATTTGGCCCCGCTTTTCCCAGGATAAGCTCTCATACCTGCTAGGCCTTGGTGAAGACATAACCAAGAGCCAAGGAAACCCCGAATCCATGGATTTGGCCCCGCTTTTCCCAGGATAAGCTCTCGTACCCGGTAGGCCTTGGTGAGGACGCGGCGGCGCCGCCGGGGCTCGGCCTCGTCCTGGTCACTGCCCGGCTCGTCCCCCTCGTCGATGTCGAAGTCCGAGTCCACCTCGTCCTCCGTGTCCGAGTGTTCCCCCCGGTACTCGTCATCCCCGGATTCCTGCGGGATAACGGGGATGGATCAGCTTGGAGAGACCACAGAGAATCCCCCTTGGGCTCGTCATCCCCGGATTCCTGCGGGATAACGGGGATGGATCAGCATGGAGAACCCTGGGAGATCCCCCCTGGACTCGTCATCCCCGGATTCCTGCGGGATAACGGGGATGGATCAGCTTGGAGAGACCACAGAGATCTTGGGAGAGCCCTCCTGGACTCGTCACCCCCGGATTCCTGCAGGATAACAAGGATGGATCAGCATGGAGAGACCATAGAGATCCCTCCTGGGCTCGTGATTCCTGGATTCCTGCGGGATAACAAGGATGGATCAACATGGAGAGACCACAGAGATCCCTCCTGGGACTCGCCATCCCCGGATTCCTGCAGGATAAGGGGGATAGGTGAGTATGGAGAACCCTGGGAGATCCCTCTGGGACTCGTCATCCCCGGATCCCTGCGGGATAACGGGGATGGGTCAGCATGGAGAGACCACAGAGATCCCGAATGCTCCTTTCGGGACTCGCCACCCCCGGATTCCTGCGGGATAACGGGAATGGCTCATCCCGGTTGTCCCCCGGAGCCCCCCGAGGGGTCTCGGTCCCCTCGCAGCCCCCCCGTGCCCCGGGACCCCCCGTGCCCGTCCCCCCTCTCCCCGGACACCTCGTCGAACCCGCCGTAGGTGCTCCGGTAGAGCTCCTCGTCCTCCTCCTCGGCCCGCAGCAGCCCCGAGAGCCGGTTCCCGGTCCCCCCACCCCCCCGGTACCCCCGGTCCCCCCGGTCCCCCCGGTCTCTCCGCTCCCCCCCTTCGTGCCCAGACACCTCGTTGAAGCCGCCGTAGGTGGTCTGGTAGAACTCGTCCTCCTCCTCGGCCTGCAGCAGCCCCGACAGCCGGTTCCCGGCCGTTCTGCGCGGGGCGCGACCCTCCGCCAGGCTCATCTCGGCGCTCGGCTGCGCGTCCTGCCGGGGCTCCGGAGGGGGGGGGGGGGGGAGCGAGAGAGCGCCGAGCGATCGATGGAGGGAGGGGGGTGGCGCCGCCCAGCGGGGGGAAGGGGGAACTGCGAGTGACGTCATGTGATGGAGTGACGTCATTGGATGTCCCTCCATGTCCCCACTGTGTCCACACCGTCTTTCCCGATGTCCCCCCTATGTCCCACCGCGTCCCCACGTGTCCCCACTGTGTCCCCCAATGTCCCCATCATGTCCTTCCATGTCCCCCCGTCACCACCATGTCCCCCCATCACCACCATGTCCCCCCAATGTCCCCCCGTGTCCCCCCAATGTCCCACTGTGTCCCACTGTGTTCCCACTGTGTCCCTTCATGTCCTTCCATGTCCCCCCGTCCCACCCTGTGTCTCCACTGTGTCCCCCCCCATGTCCCCCCAATGTCCCCTCATGTCCCCCCATGTTCCACCATGTCCCCCCAATGTCCCATCATGTCCCACCATGTCCCCACATGTCCCCACTGTGTCCCCCCATGTCCGAACTGTGTCCCCCCGTGTCCCCACTCTGTCCCCCCATGTCCGAACTGTGTCCCCCCATGTCCCCACTATGTCCCCCCATGTCCCCCCCATGTCCCTGTTGTGTCCCCCCAATGTCCCACCACGTTCCTCCATGTCCCCTCGACCCCCCCATGTACCCCTTGTGTCCCCCCATATCCCCCCCATGTCCCCACTCTGTCACCCCAAAGTCCCCCCATGTCCCCCCCATGTCCCTGTTGTGTCCTCCCAATGTCCCACCATGTCCCCCCCATGTCCACACCATGTCCCCACCATGTCCCTGTTGTGTCCTCCCAATGTCCCACCATGTCCCCACCCTGTCCCCATGTATCCCCAATGTGTCCCCACCATGTCCCACCCTGTCCCTGCTATGTCCCCACCCTGTGCCACCCCCACGTGGGTGACAGAAGTGACACCGTTTCCTTCCTCTTTTTGTCCCCAGGAGCCCCGGGGAGGTGACAGGTGGCCCCGGTGGGGTGTGACACCACCCTGGATGGGGGGCACCGGGATGGCCGGGGACGTGGCACTGCTCCTGTGGGGTGAGTGTCCCCTGGGGTCCCCAAGGCCACCGGAGCTCGGCCAGGGGGGTGGCCTTGGGGACAGGAACAGGGAGACAGGAACGGGGGACAGGAATGGGGGGACAGGGGTGTGGGGACAGGCACCATGGGTCTGGAGCAGCTCTGGGGACAGGGACAGGGGGACGGGGGAACAGGGATGTAGGGACAGGGACACAAACACCACGTGGACAGGCCGTGGGAACAGGTGTCGTGGGAATGGGATCACGGGCACGGGGACAGGGGGATGTGGCTGTGGGGACAGGGATAGGGGGAATGGGATCACGGGCACGGGGACAGGGGGATGTGGCTGTGGGGACAGGGGGATGTGGCTGTGGGGACAGGGGCTCTGGGGCTGGTGGAGGTGCTCTGTGCCAGCACAGGGTGTCCGTGGTGTCCCCATCCCCAGGGTGACCGTGACGTCCCCGTGTCCAGGGTGTCTCCCCAGTGTCCCCATCCCCAGGGTGACCACGATGTCCCCATGTCCCCCCCTCAGCCCGGGATGTCCCCAGTGTCCCCATGCCCAGGGTGACCACGACCCATGATGTCCCCATCCCCGGGGTGTCCGTGGTGTCCCCATGCCTGGGGGTTGCTGCTGTGTCCCCACATCCCCCCCTCAGCCCGGGGTGTCCCCAGTGTCCCCGTCCCCACCCGGATGTGGTTTGTGGCACAAACACGTCCCCTGATCCCTCCAGGGACCTCTTGGGGACCGTCCCCCATCACTTTCCCACGAGAACCGGTGTCCCCACGGGCACAGTTTGGGGACAGCCCCCACTGTCCCCGTGGTGCCACCCCCACCCAGCCCCTCTCACTTCTCCCTTCCAGCCCAGGCCCTGATCCTCGCTGGTGAGTCCTCGAGGGGGGGGATGGCGTGTCCCCCGCCCCGCTGTCCCCAGCCCCGCGGTGGCCCTGGCAGGCTGGTGTCCCCTGTCACCCGCAGGCGCCCAGACCACCCAGCTCCTGCTGGATCCCCCCTGGACGCCGGCGGTGCTGTGGGACGAGGTGACCCTGACCTGCCAGGGCTCGGGGACCCCCGGGGACACCACCTGGTTCAAGAACGGGCGGCCCTGGGGGCAGAAGGGACGCGACAGTGTCCTTGTCACCAAGGAAGGCACCTACGAGTGTCACAGAGACGGCACCGGGTTCAGCCCCACCGTGCTCGTGTTAGACGGTGAGGGGGGACGAAGTGGGTGTCTGGGGGGCTCCGTGGGTGTCACCCCCCTCGTGTGACGTTCTGGTGCGCTCGGGGACACCCCGGCACCCCTGGGCACCCCTGGGCACCCCTGGGCACCCCTGCCACATCCTGCTGCCAGTGCCCCCAGTGCCATGGGAACACCCTCCCCCCCGAGGTCCCCGGTGCGATGGGACCCCCTGAGGTCCCCGGTGCGATGGGACCCCCTGAGGTCCCCGGTGCGACGGGACCCCCGTGTCCCGCAGACTGGCTGGTGCTGCAGGTCCCGGCGGGGCCGCTGCTGGAGGGGGACAACGTGACCCTGCGCTGCCGGGCCTGGGAGAGCTTCATCACCCGGGTGCGGTTCTACCACGAGGGGAAGGAGCTGCGGGGGTCCCTGGAGGGGATGCAGCTGTCCCTGCCCCCGCTGCAGCTGCACCACGGGGGTCGGTACCTCTGCAAGAGCACGTACAGGCTGTCGGTGGAGGTGACAGTGACAGTGCACGGTGAGCACCCCCAGAGCCCGGAGCCGACACCCCCAGAGCCCGGAGCCGACACCCCCAGCACCCCTCCGCACCGGACTCGTGCTCACCATCCCCCCATCCCCTGTCTCCTTCCCAGAGCTCTTCCCGGTGCCGGTGCTGGAGGGTCCCTCCGAGCCCACCGAGGGGTCCCCCCTGAATCTCCGGTGCCGCAGCCCCCCCAGCCCCCTGCGGCCCCGCGCCCGCCTCCTGCACCTCTTCTACCGGGACGGGGTGCTGGTGGGGGGCCCGCAGGGGTCCCCCCAGCTCCACGTGCCCGCCGTGGGGGTCTCCCACTCGGGGGGTTACACGTGCGAGGTGCGCTCCGGGGACGGTTCCGTGCGGAAGAGCAGCGCCCGGCTCCGCCTCGCGGTGCGCAGTGAGTGCGGGCACGGGGGGACACCCCCACAGCCCCCCCGGGGACCCCCTTCCCTCCCGACATCCCACCCCGCTTCCCGGCTCCCCGCTCCGCCCTCTGCTCTGCCTTCCAGCCCCGGGTCCTTCCCCCCCTCCCTGTGTCCCCTAATCTGCCCCTGGGGTCCCCCCACCCCTCTCTGAGCCCCCACATCCCTCCCTGAGGCCCCTCTGCCTCTCCTCCCCTGAGGTCCCCTGTCCCTCCCTGGGGTCCCTCAATGGTCCCCAGGTCCCCACACCCCTTCCTGGGTCCCTTCTCCCTCACTGGGGTCCCCTCTCTCCACCGTGTCCCCTCTCCCATCCGTGTCCCTCCCTGAGGTCCCTCAATGGTCCCCAGGTCCTCCTCCCCCTCTCTGGGTCCCTCCTCCCTCACTGGGGTCCCCCCCTCGCCGTGTCCCCCCTCCCACCCGTGTCCCCCCGCAGGGATCCCAGTCTCGGGGGTGTCCCTGTCGGCGCAGCCCCCGGGGGGGCGGGTGGCACTGGGTGACCTGCTGGCGCTGAGCTGCGCGGTGGCCGCGGGGACAGGCCCCCTGTCCTTCTCCTGGCACCGGGGGGGCTCGGCCTCGCCCCTGGGCACCGGCCCCCGCCTCGAGCTGCGCGTCGGGGGCGAGGACAGCGGCCACTACCAGTGCCGGGTCACCGACGGGGACAGCGCGGCCCAGAGCCCCCCCCTGCGTGTCACCGTGCTGGGTGAGCGGGACCCCCGGGCTGGGGGTGACCCCCCATCCCAGTCACCCCACCCCATCCCAGCCATCCCTCCCCCCCGGCTTCAGGTCCGTCTGTCCCCCCCCGCAGTGCCCGTGGCCAACGCCACCATCACCCCCGTGGCCAACGCCACCGTCCCCCCCGTGGCCGATGCCACCCCCGTCCCCCCGGCCCACCGGGTGGGCACCGGCGCCCCGGTGACCCTGCGCTGCTCGGTGCGGGCGGGCTCGGCCCCCGTGACCTTCTGGTGGCTGCGGGACGGGCGGGAGGTGGCCCGGGGGCCCCTCCTGGCGCTCGGGGACGCGGAGCCGCGACATTCCGGCACCTACCGCTGCGTGGCCACCAACCAGCTGGACGGGCACCGCGTGTTCCGGGCGCTCAGCCCCGAGCTGGCCCTGCTGGTGACACCGCGGGGACACCGGGACACAGGTGGGGTCGCTCGGGGTCGCTGGGGGGGTGACGGGGCACGGCGGTTTGTCCCTCTGTGTCCCCGGTGGGCACAGACGGGACGGGGCACGGGTGGAGTCACTGGGGGGGGCTGGGTGATCCCCGTTTGTCCCCGCTCCGTCCCCGGGGGTGGCACAGAGGGGACGGGGCACGGGTGGGGTCACCCGGGGTCTCCGGGGGTGCAGGACCCCCCGGGGTGCCAGGTGACCCCTCTGTGTCCCCCTCTGTCCCCAGCAGTGGCCGCGGGGGTCGGCGGGTCCCTCCTGTTCCTGCTCCTGCTCCTGGGTGTCATCGGGGGGTGGCACCGGTGGCACCGCCGGGGTGGGTGACTATGGGGGGGGGGACAGCGGTCCTGGGGTGGGGGGAAGCCCCCCCGGTTTGGGGGGTGATGGGGTGGCACCCACAGACCCCCTTTAGAGGGACTGAGCCCCCCATGACCTCGGCTCAGGGCCCTGGGGGGCTCAGGGGGGATTTTGGAGGGTCTTAGGGGAACTCTTGGGGTGTCCCATGGGGGGCCTTGAGGAATCCTGGGGGGTACCGGGGGCTCCTGGGGGAGGGTGGGGAGGTCCTGGAGGGTCGTGCAGGGACTTGGGGGGATCTTCAGGGATCCTGGGGGAGTTTGGGGGGTCGCCCCTCCCTGCCAAGCTCGAGGTTCTGGGGGTTCAGGGGGCCCAGGGGTTCCAGGGGTGTCGGGGGTACCGGGGTGGTTCTGGGGGGGCTTTGGGGTTGCTTGGGTGTCCTGGGGGGAGATCGGGGGTCCGCTGGGGGTTCAAGGGTCCCGGGTGGGGGGGTTAGGAGGGTTCAGGGGTCCTGGGGACCCCCCAGTCACATCGAACCCCCTCCTTTTTTCTTTCAGCTTCCAGGAAAACCCAGGACAGGTGAGTGGGGGGGGGCCTCGTGCCGTGACCCCCATTTCCCCCCTCCCCCAGGAACACCCCCCTCACCCCCCCTTATCCCCACAGGGCCCCCCCGGACCTCCAAACCCCCCCGGAGGAGGAGGGGGAGGTGCTTTACGCCGACGTCACGGTCACTGAGCGGGCAGGGGGTGAGTATGGGGGGCTGGAGGGGGGACACAGGGACACGTCACCCACGGGGGGGGACAGGGACATGCCCCCCACATGGTGTCACCCCTTCCACGGGTCCCCCCAACCGGTTTCTCTCCCAGCAGCCCCCCGGGGGTCCCGCAGTGACCCCCCCCAGGTGACCTACGCGGAGCTGCCGGGACCCCGCGGGCGCCACCGGGACTCCAGTGACAGCTACGAGAACGTGCTGTGACACTGGGAGGGCACTGGGGGGCACTGGGAAGGGCACTGGGAGCACTGGGGGGCACTGGGAAGGGCACTGGGAGCGCTGGGGGGAACTGGGAGCACTGGAGACACTGGGGGCACTGAGGGGCACTGTGTTGCCCTTCCCAGTGCCTCTCCATCGATCCCAGTGCCCCCAGCGCCCCCCATGCCCCTCCCAGTGCCCCCAGTGCCCCCCATGCCCCTCCCAGTGCCCCCAGTGCGGCCAAGCCGAAGGTGCCCAAGGGGCAAATAAACAAATTTTTTTTATTTTTATTTTTCTTTCTCTTTCCTTGTTCATCCCAAACTCTCCCTTTTCCTTCAGGGACGTGCCTTTATCTCCCTCCGTTGGGGGGGCTTTTCCAGCTGATTCTCCCACCCCTGCCCAGCTGGGAACTGTGACGTCAGGGATTGGGGGTGTCACACACTGGGGGTGTGGCCCAGTGACGTCACAGGGTGTGTGTGTGTGCGTGCTGCCGTGACGTCATGGGTTGTGGGTGTCAGGCATGGGGGGCTCTGTGACGCCACAGGATGGGGGTGTGTGCTCCTGTGATGTCACAGTTTCAGGATGTGGGTCTGTGACGTCACAGGACGGGGGCGTCAGGCATTGGGGCTGTGCCTCTGTGACGTCACACATCGGGGTGACCCTATCGGGTGTGGCTCGGTGACGTCACTCACCCTGGCCCCGCCCCCTCTTGGCGTCACGGGGAAAGCACTGTGTGCGGTGACATCACACTGTGACGTCACAGAGTGACGACACTCCGCCCCCGCCCGTCACGTGACTCTGTGGGAGGGGGTGTGGCTCTGCCCGCTCCGCGCATGCGTCCTGCGCGCCCGGCCGCGTGTCCCCCGCTCCCCCCCAACTCCCCGCGGCCGCCAGGGGGCGTGACCGAGGCGGGAGTGGGCGTGGCTTTGCCCGGACGGGGCGGAGCCGGGCGAGAAGGGGGGGTGCCTTCTATCCCTTTAGTGGGCGTGGCTTGGCGATACGGGGCAGATCCGGAGGGGCGTGGTCTCGCCTTGCGTGGGCGTGTCCTGTCCCGCAGTGGGCGTGTCCGGCTTGGGCGTGGGGAGGGTGGGGGGGGGTGAGCGCGCGCGCTCCAAGATGGCGGCGGCGGGGCCCGAGTCCGGCGGGAGCAGCGGGAGCAGCGGCGGCTTCGGCGGTACCGACCGGGAACGGGGACGGGAACGGGCCGGGGAAGGGCCGGCGGGGCTCCCGGGGGCCCCGCGGGGGGCGAGGGGGGCGGCTTTGGGGGCGTTAAGGGGTGAGCGGGGGCGGGGGAGGGTGTGGGCGCTGAGGGGGCTCTGAGGGCTGGGGGGGGCGGGGGGGTGAGGGGGGATTTTTGGGGGTTATTTGGGGCGTTTTTGGGAGCGCGGGGGTTGTGAGATTGCGGGGCTGAGGGGGATGATGGGGTGTGAGGGGGGTCTGGGGGGGCGGGAAGGGCGGGGGTGCCCTGAGGGCCTGGGGGGTCCGTGGGCGGCTGAGAGTGGTTTTTGGGGGGTCTTTAGGGCTGAGGAGGCTCCGAGGGCCTGAGAGGCCTGTGCGATGAGGGGGGCTTTGGGGGTGTTTAGGGTATTTTTTGGGGGTGCGGTGGGTGTAGGACTGTGGGGCTCTGAGATGCTTGGGAGGTTCGTGAGGGGTGTTTTTTTTGGGGGGGAAGGGTGTTGTGTCTTCGGAGGGTTATTTTGGGGTCTTGGGGGGGGGTCTGGAGCTGCCCGAGAGGGGTCTGGGGTTCCATGGGGTGGGTCGGGAGCATTTTGGGGGGGTCTGGGGGTCCCCTGGGGGGGTCTGGGTGGCCATGGGGGGTCTGGGGGTGGGGGGGGTCTGGGGGTCCCCCGAGGGGGTCTGGGTGGGCCATGAGGGGTCTGGGGGGCCATGAGGGGGTCTGAGGGTGCCATGGGGGGGTGTGGGGGTGCCATGGGGGGGTGTGGGTGTGCCATGGTGGGGACTGGGGGTGCCCTGAGGGGGTCTGGGGGTGCCATGAGGGCGTCTGGGTGTGCCATGAGGGGGTCTGAGGGTCCCCTAGGGGGGTCTGGGGGGCCATGAGGGGGTCTGGGGGTGCCATGAGGGGGTCTGGGGGGCCATGAGGGGGTCTGGAGGGTGGCCACGGGGAGGTCTGGGGGGGCCCTGGGGGGGTCGGGGTGCCATGGGGGGTCTGGGGGTGCCCTGGGGGGGTCTGGGGGTGCCCTGGGGGGGTCTGGGGGTGGCCAGGAGGGGGTCCTGGTGTGCCATGAGGGTGTCTGGGGTCCCCTGGGGGGTCGGGGGGTCCCCCTGTGGGGGGTCTGAGGGTCCCTGGGGGGGTCTGGGGGTGCATGGGTAGGGTCGGGGGTGGCCATGTGGGGTCTGGGGGTGCCATGAGGGGGTCTGGGTGTGCCATGAGGGGGTCTGAGGGTCCCCTGGGGGGGTCTGGGGGTCCCCTGGGGGGGTCTGAGGGTCCCCTGGGGGGGTCTGGGGGTGCCATGGGGGGGTCTGGGGGTGCCATGGGGGGGTCTGGAAGTGCCATGGGGGGGTCTGGGGGTGCCCTGAGGGAGTCTGGGGGTGCCAGGGGGGGTCTGGGGATGCCATGAGGGGGTCTGGGGGTGCCCTGAGGGGGTCTCGGGGTGCCATGGGGGGGTCTGGGGGTGCCATGGGAGGGTCTGAGGGTGCCATGGGGGGGTCTGGGGGTGCCATGGGGGGGTCTGGGTGTGCCCTGGGGGGATCCAGAGCTGCCCTTTCCCCATGGAAAGTGTGGCCTGGGCCCCTTCCCTGGGAAAAACAGGGATTTTAGGGGGGTTCAAACCCCCCCCCTAAAAAAAGGGGGGGCTCGGGTGGGTTTGGAAGGTGTGTGGGGGGGTTTTGGTGCCAAACTGGGAAATTCGACTCCCGGTTCCCGGCGATGAGTCAGGGACACCCCTCCGGGGGGGGAGCAGGGCCGGGAAACCCAAATTGGGATCAAAATCCCCCCTCCCGGAATCTGGGAATGCTCGGGGGGGAGGGGGGGGGTTCCGTCTCCGAGGGGGGGCCTCGTTTGGACCCGCGGGAGGCAAAAAATCCCGTGGGAATAGAAACGTTAAAGCCCAAAAATCCAGGGCTTGGATTTGCTTGGCTCGCCCGGAGCGGGAGCCGGGGAGGGAATCCAGGGAAAGGGCTGGAAGGGCGGGGGGGGCCGGGAATTCCCGGGGGCGGGAGGAGCCACCGGGGGGGGGGGAGACCTCGTTTGGGGCGAATTGTGGCGCTTTTGGCGCTTCCAACCTGTGGCTGTTCCCCTTCCCTGCATTCCCGGGGGGATTCCAGCCCTAAATCCCCTTTTCCAACCTGTGGCTGTTCCCCTTCCCTGCATTCCCGGACCTAAATCCCCTTTTCCAACCTGTGGCCCTTCCCCTTCCCTGCATTCCCGGCGGGAATTCCAGCCCTAAATCCCTCTTTTCCCAAAGCCCCAAATCCCCTTAAATTCGGGCTCAGAAAATAAATAGATAAATATTTATATTTTTCATTATTTTTCAATTAAATAATTAAAATGACTGAATAGCGTTTAAAGCATTATCATTATTTATTGTTAACTAAGTAATTTAACTAATGGGTTTTATAAATTTTTGAATAATGAAAATAGTAAAATATTGGTTAAAATAAGTAATTAAATATTTGTCATTTATTGTTAATTAATGATTATTAATTAATGAAATAATTTCAGTAACAAATAATTAAATATTCATAATCCTTATTAATTAAATAATAAAAATAACTAAATATTGGTTGAAATAAATAACGAAAATATTTGTTATTATTTACTATTAATTAATGAAATAATTTAACAAACTAATAACTAAAATCAATAATTAAATATTTATAATTAATTTATTATTAATTAATTAAACATTTTAACAAATGAATAGCTGAAATAAGTAATTAAATATTTATAATTAAATAATTCATTGAAATAAATATTTGTCAATATCTATCAATTAAATAATTTAGCTAAGTAATAATTAAAATAAAATATTCATAATTTCAATCATTAATTAAATAATGAAAATTAATTATAAAAATTTATTATTATTATTATTATTATTATTAATTTATTAAGCAATTGAAGTAACTAATAAGTAAAACAAATAATTAAATATTTATTATTTATGATTATTAAACAAAATAACTAAAATAATTAAAATTTTATTAGTTATGATTACTTTTAAAACAAATAATTAAAATAACTAAATAATAATTAAAATAAATAGTCAAACCTTTATTATTATTTATCATAATTAATAATTAATTACTAAATAATTAAAATAATCATTAAAAATGAAATAATAATCTCAAGGGCCAGCCGGCAGGAATCCCTGGGAAGCCGGAATTCCATGGGAAGCGGGAAAAGGGGAGCTCAGGGCGGGGCTTTCCAACATTCCCAAGCCTTGGAATGGCTCTTTTTTTGGGGAATGACCCTCCCTGAGCGGGGCTTTTCCTCCTGGCAGGTTCTTCCACCGTCAAGAAATCCCTGACCCCCGAGGTAAGTCTGGGAGAATCCCGAATTCCAGGGGTTTTCCTGCTCCTTTCCCAAACCAGGCTTAAACCTGGGGGCAGCTTTTCCTTTGGGAAATTGGGAGAATCCCGAATTCCAGGGGTTTTCCTGCTCCTTTCCCAAACCAGGCTTAAACCTGGAAGCAGCTTTTCCTTTGGGAAATGGGGAGAATCCTGAATTCCAGGGGTTTTCCTGCTCCTTTCCCACCTCAGGGTTAAACCTGGGGGCAGCTTTTCCTTTGGGAAATGGGGAGAATCCTGAATTCCAGAGGTTTTTCCTGCTCCTTTCCCACCTCAGCCTTAAACCAGGGGGCAGCTTTTCCTTTGGAATTCCTGCTCCAAACCCCCCCAGTTTGTCCTGGAAAAACTCCCAATTAACGGGAAAACCCCCCAGATTATTCCAGTGGTTCCAGGCAGCAAAAATCCTCTCAAATATCCGGTTTTCCGTCCTCGGCTCTTCCCGGTTTTCCCTGTTTTCCCAGATGCCGGGAGGTTCCGGCCAGACCATCAGGAAGGGGCACAGAGGGGTGGATTCCACGGGGGAAACCACCTACAAAAAGGTAATTTTGGGGCGTTTTCCCCCCTTTTCCAGCTCCTTTATTCCCACTTTTTTCCCGAGGAATCGTGTGCCGGAAGGTCGGGAATGACGGGAAATCCCGAAGGGAAAAAAGGACCTTTTTGTGCTCTGGAGGGAGGGGGGGGTTTAAACCTCATTCCCAGGTCTCCTCTGGGAATATTCCCAGGGATTTTGGGATGTTCAGTAGGAAAAGGGATGAGGGGTTCAGGGATATTCCCAGGGATTCTGGGACGAGGGGTTTGGGGATATTCCCAAGGATGAGGGGTTTGGGGATATTCCCAGGGATTCTGGGACGAGGGGTTTGGGGATATTCCCAAGGATGAGGGGTTTGGGAATATTCCCGGGGACTTTGGGATGAGGGGTTTGGGAATATTCCCGGGGATTTTGGGATGTTCAGTAGGAAGGGATGAGGAGTTTGAGGATATTCCCAGGGGTTTCAGGATGAGGGGTTTGGGGATATTCCCAGGGATTTTAGAGATGTTCAGTAGGAAAAGGCATGAGGGGTTTGAGGATATTCCCAGGGTTTTTGGATGAGGGGTTTGGGGATATTCCCAGGGATTTAGGGATGAGGGGTTTGGGGATATTCCCAGGGATTTTGGGACGAGGGGTTTGGGAATATTCCCAGGGATTTTGGGCTGAGGGGTTTGGGGATATTCCCGGGGATTTCAGGATGTTCAATAGGAAGAGATGAGGGGTTTGGGGCCATTCCCAGGGATTTCGGGATGAGGGGTTTGGGGATATTCCCAGGGATTTCAGGACGAAGGGTTTAGGGATATTCCTGGGGACGAGGGGTTTGGGGATATTCCCAGGGATTTTGGGATGAGGGGTTTGGGGATATTCCCGGGGATTTCAGGATGTTCACTAGGAAGAGATGAGGGGTTTGGGGCCATTCCCAGGGATTTCGGGATGAGGGGTTTGGGGATATTCCCAGGGCCGAGGGGTTTGGGGATATTCCCGGGGATTTCAGGATGTTCAATAGGCAAAGGGACAATCCGGGAGCTTTTTACCTCCTTCCCATTCCCGGTTTCTCTCGGCTGCCCTGCCCTGGCCCCGCAGACGACGTCGTCGGCGCTGAAGGGCGCGATCCAGCTGGGGATCACCCACACCGTGGGCAGCCTGAGCACCAAGCCCGAGCGCGACGTGCTCATGCAGGACTTCTACGTGGTGGAGAGCATCTTCTTCCCCAGGTCCGGCGGTCCTGAAATCCCTGGGAATGGCCCCAAGTCCCTGGGAATGGCCCCAAGTCCCTGGGAATGGCCCCAAGTCCCTGGGAATGGCCCCAAGTCCCCGGGAATGTCCCCAAGTCCCTGGGAATGGCCCCAGATCCCCGGGAATGGCCCCAGATCCCCGGGAATGGCCCCAAGTCCCTGGGAATGGCCCCAAGTCCCTGGGAATGGCCCCAAGTCCCTGGGAATGTCCCCAGATCCCTGGGAAGGTCCCCAGATCCCTGCCCTGGGATGTCCCAGATCCCGGGGAATGTCCACCAGATCCCGGGGAAGGGCCGCCAAGTTCCCTGGGATGTGGCCCCAAGTCCCTGGAATGGCCCCAAGTCCCCTGGGAATGGCCCCAGAGCCCGGGGAATGGCCCCCAGTATACCGGGAATTGTGGCCCAAGATCCCTGGGAATGGGCCCAAGATCCCCGGGAATGTCCGCCCAAGTCCCCGGGGAATGTCCCCAAATCCCTGGGAATGGCCACAATCCCTGGGAATGGCCCCAGATCCTGGGAATGGCCCCAGATCCCCGGGAATGGCCCCAGATCCCCGGGAATGGCCCCAGATCCCCGGGAATGGCCCCAGATCCCCGGGAATGGCCCCAAGTCCCCGGGAATGGCCCCAAGTCCCCGGGAATGGCCCCAAGTCCCCGGGAATGGCCCCAAGTCCCCGGGAATGGCCCCAAGTCCCTGGGAATGGCCCCAGATCCCCGGGAATGGCCCCAAGTCCCTGGGAATGGCCCCAAGTCCCTGGGACTGTCCCCAGATCCCCGGGACTGTCCCCAGATCCCTGGGAATGGCCCCAAGTCCCCGGGAATGTCCCCAGATCCCCGGGAATATCCCCAGATCCCCGGGAATACCCCCAAACCCCTCAGCCCTGGGAATATCCCCAAACCCCTCGTCCTGAAATCCCTGGGAATATCCCCAAACCCCTCGGCCTTGGGAACATCCCCAAACCCCTCGTCCCTTTTCCTACTGAACATCTTTAAATCCCTGGGAACATCCCCAAACCCCTCAT